GGGGGGGGGCAGGGACGATGAAGAGATACCCAAGTTCTCAAAAAGGCAAAGGCCAAGTCAGTTTTCTAACCTCAAACGACTCAACTTTGCTGGGCTGGCTACGCTGTAAAAATGCCTGATTTCAGAACCCCCAAAGGCAGCGTTCATTGTGAGTTGTCCTCTGGAAAGTGTGGAGTCCACGCACAAAAAACCCACAACAACAACAAAACAACCCCCCCCCCCCCAAACAAAAAAACAAACAACAAACAACAACAACAAATAACACACACACCCCACTACAAAGACACCCTGAAAATATCTGTGGATGACTTCAGCATTAAGCCCTCGACATGGGAGAGTCTTGTTCCTGACAGACCAAGTTGGAGGGCAGCAGTCATACTCGTGGTAGGCAGTACGTCATAATGTTAGGAGGCTTCACGGACAAGAAATAAATGCTGAAGCAAAAAGAGAAGCCTCCAAACTGGGCACACCAACGAGTGTATATGGTCGCCTTTAATAAGGACAAGCCGGCTAACCCAGATTTCGGGGGTTTCCAGAAATCTTGACCTACACCAAAAGTGGGCATTGTCCTACCTATAGGAGAAGTTTGGTTTCATTGGTGTGTATATTTGTTTGGTTATAGAAAAAACTCTCCTTGTCTTTTCAAGAAACTGAACAAGGGGCAAAAACGTCTCCAAAAAATCCCATCTATGTTGAATAGAAGTGGAGATATTTGCGATTGAAGGAGGTGGCGGTCGCCTTGTTTCAGAGGTAAAAGTAGCGAGAAATTAGCCGCCAAAGTTTAGTGACTTTCAAAACTTGAGAGTCCTTGGAAATAACTTTTTTTTTTCGTGCCTCTTTTCAACGAGTTTCATGTTTTTCTATTACAATTCTTGTGTGTCTTCCTAAGAACTCCCCTTGGCAAACCTTTTGTTCCAACGCTCCATTTCTGATGTCTCAAGGAAATACAGCGTTGTAGCCTATTGTGCACCAAAGATCGTACATAATAACAAGATATTCACTCAGCAAAAGAAATGTCCGCAGAAGTCCGCGCATTGCTTCAGATGGCGCTGCAGTCTCTATTTGAAGCTCTCTTTCGTTTCTCAAGAAAAAGAATAGGAAAGGGCACAGTTTGTTAGTTTCGCTTTCACTGTTTTTCACACAAGTAGGGTAACTCTGTTCGCAAAGTCTGTGCTTTTTCGAAGAGGGCGCCACCGAATTTTGAGGACACTTTTTTAATTGGCTCAAAGAGAGGAGTGAACTATCTTGTTATACACGATCTCTGTTACTGTTATGAACACAGTGGTATAGATCTCATAATACGGTCCCTTTTAAGGACAAGCGGCTAACCCATATTTCAGGGGTTTTCATAAATCTTGACCAACACCAAAAGTGGGCATAGCCCTACCTATAGGAGACGTTTTGCTTCATTGGTGTGTATAGTAATTTGCCTGGCTATAGAGAAAACTCTCCTAGTCTTTTAAAGAAACTGAACAAGGGGCAAAAACTTTACCTTTGATTTTCTCAAAAACAGCATGTTTCGGGATAGCCCCCTTGTGCTTAAAGCGACCATATTGCGTCTGTTGGGATGACGGGAATGGCTGTGTTTATCCTGGGGCGCAGTGTCGTTGTCGGTTCCACTGTCCGGGGAATCCCCACCCAGACACCACCAGACGGGACATTGCCAGAAGGGA